CCCCCGGGGCCTGAGGGGTGGGGCCCAATAGGGGAAATATAGCAAATTTTTTTAAAAACCTGTTTATTCTGTAAGAATGGAAGGATTTGTTCCATATTTGGTCTGAAGCATCCTTGGGTGAAGGGGAACCAATTTTGTATAAACAGTGGGTCTGGCCCCCCAGGGGGCTGAGGGGGTTGGGCCCAATATGGGAAACATAGCAAATTATTCTTTAAAATCCTTCTCCTTCTGTAGGAATGAAAGGATTTGGTCCATATTTGGTGTGGAGCATCCTTGGGTAAAGGGGAACTAATTTTGTATAAACGGTGGGTGTGGCCCCCCTGGGACTTGAGGGGTGGGGCCCAATAGGGGAAATAGAGGTAAAACCTTTAAAATCCTTCTTCTACCGTAGGGTTTAAGGGATTTCATCCTAATTTTGTCTGGAGCATTCTTGGGCCAAGGGGACTCAATTTTGTATAAACAGTGGGTGTGGCCCCCCTGGTACCTGAGGGGCGCGGCCCAATAGGGGAAATAGAGGAAAACCTTTAAAATCCTTCTTCTACCATAGGGATTAAGGGATTTTATCCTAAATTAGTCTGGAGCATCCTTAGGCCAAGGGGACTCAATTTTGTATAAGCAGTGGATGTGGTCTCCCAGGGGGCAGAAGGGCGGGGCCCAATAGGAGAAGTAGAGGTAAAACCTTTAAAATCCTTCTTAGACCATCGGGATTAAGGGATTTTATCTTTATTTAGTCTTGAGCATCCTTTGGCCAAGGGGACTCAATTTTGTATAAACGGTGGGTATGACCCCCCCTAGGGACATAGGGGTGGCCTCTGTTTGAAATTTGTTCTCGCTATATCTCAATTACTGGATGGATCTTTCTGAAATTTCAAATGTACTTACAGCACCTACCATGGAGTGCTATATCTTTACAACATAACAATTATTTTAAACATATTCAGGTGAGCGATACAGGCCCTATGGGCCTCTTGTTCTGGAACTGTGAAATGTTCATACAAAAAAGGTTTTTCATTGTATATGGAAGAAATTATATAATACAGTCAGCCTGATACTGGAGAGGATGAATGAAGTTCTTCTCATCATAACTCTTACAGGTGTTTTGTACTGACCAAGGAACGTTTCTTTAATTCCAGGTATTTAAGGCTGGACTACATCTCCTTAAGATGATCCTCACAGAATACTGCCCCAAACACAAGTAGGCATCACATACAACACCGACACTTAACTCTGTCATATATGTTGTAATATACTGTAAATAAGCTAAACTAGTTAATGACACAGAGTAAACACATGTTCTGAGTACCGGTATAAGCATACTTGCACACTATTATGGAAAAATTGAACCACAAAGATATTAATTTAAAGGAAAGATAGACTATTTTGAGTTTTGAAATACAAAATTATTGTTTATATTTATATCACAAGCTGACTGTCAAAGGAATGTATTAACAGAACAAATTTGTATCTGTGTACGAAAAGATCCTCATTTCTACTTTTACAGTGAATTTGAAACATTTATCTTGTGAACTGTGTCTATTACAGGTTAGGAAAGTCTGAATTCGTCCACACAGTGGAGATTGTCATGCCCGAACTCTTCAACAAGTCAGCTGACACGGTACGAAACTTCAAAAACTGTTATTGGGCTTTGATGTATACTATATATATTTCTTTTATTTAGTCAAAAGCCATATACATTCAGGGTTAGGGTAGCAATTTTTTTTCTATGTCTATTCATTACAGGTTTTAACTTTTGCCTGTCTTACAGCTTATTGTCCAAATCATCTGTTGTGATGGTGATTTAGATTAAATAAATGAGATATAGGTTGTGCAATTGGTATTATGTGTTGAGTTTAATAGCATAACCTGGTAAATTTGAAAAGAATTACTATCATCTTTAAATTATACCAATTTGCAGTGGTTAAATTTTGTGTTTTAAATTTTAAAATGGAGGGGACAGTTTTATAATGTTGACAGAATTTGGTAATCTTGATCAAATTTAGATTTATTTAACTCTTTCACCACTGTCTACCATAATGGACTCATCCCGATCAATGCATGGGAGAGTCTACTAAAGTCACATAAGGGCGAAAGGGTTAATATAACAAGCTTGATGTTGTATTTGATTTTCGTACAAAACCACCTGATACAGTGATACAAACTCAGACAGTTGAAGTCCACCATTTTACCTGAAATGAAAAATACTGATCCGAAACAATATTTGTTAGAATAAGTTGATTCAGATATCATCATCTTTTTTAACCTTTCACCCCTAAGTAACTTTAGTAGACTCTACCATACATTTATCTTGGTGAGTCCATTTTGGTCTACAGTGGTGAAAGGGTTAAAGATTTCTTCAACTATATGAACAACTCTATTATATATTAATGACTTTCATGTTCCAGGTGACTTATAGTGATGTTTTCTTCTGGTTTTTGTTTTAATTTTAGGCTTCAAGGAATCGAGACGATGCTAAAAACTTCATCAAAGAAATGGCTAATTTTCCTGAAGTGCGGGTGAGTTCCAGATATTGACCTGTACTAGTGACTGCTAAAAACAATCCCCAAATGTCAACTTTGTTGGGAAAACTATCAGTTGATGTGTTGTCTTAATTATGATGTTTCTTCTGCTTCTGCCTACTGATTACTGGTGTCCAATGACATAGCAAAGCCACACTGGACTTTTTATTCTATAAATAGATTACTTATTGCCTAATGTAGACAGTTAATCAGTGCCTTTCTACTGTAAGTATGAATAACATTTACTTCTACCTTCCGTGTTGACAGCCGACCAATGTCGTGCCACACGAATGTCTGAAGCCAATAAAGATGACACTAGCGCCCCGCCCTGCTCAGTCACGCCTGGAGATTGTGGAGATGTTGTACAAGAGCCTGGGAGTCAAGGGCAGCACGTACGTAGTCGAGAGCGATTCTTATTTAGACAAGGACACAATGTTCAACGTAAAGAGTAACAATATTTGGTTGTCAAGGGCAAAGTATACATACTCAGGAGTAACATTTGTTTATATTTAGGTATATTTAGTGAAGGGCGCCACATATTTAGTGAAGGGTGACACATATTTAGTGAAGGGTGACACATATTTAGTGAAGGGTAACACATATTTAGTGAAGGGCGACACATATTTAGCGAAGGGTGACACATATTTAGTGAAGGGCGACACATATTTAGTGAAGGGCAACATGTTCAGCAGGGCCACACTGATGTAATATATATGTATGTTTTTAAAGGGCAGCTATTTGTTATTCTACGTGTGCATACCTACTCAACATATAATTTCATTTTTTTGTGTTTTTTTTTTTTTCATCGAGTGTGTTGTGTTTTGTTGTTACAGTGGGATGACCATAGACAACATCATGAACTTCTGTGTGGTAGCTTTGGGTCACACCTCCGGAGATGTGAGGGACGTGTCGGAACGTATCATCAGGACACTTTACAAGGAAAACCCTGGGGACCGTCAGACCATAAAAGATCACCTGCCACCAGACGATGAGAGGACACGAAAAAACACAATGTATCGACAGCTTTTTGAATATTTTGACAAGGTTGATGGCAAACCGAGCAAATCGGATATGAAGGTATGTGTGAGATATAAAGTTATGTGTGAGATATAAAGGTATGTGTGAGATATAAAGGTATGTGTGAGATATAAAGGTATGTGTGAGATATGAAGGTATGTGTGAGATATAAAGGTATGTGTGAGATATAAAGGTATGTGTGAGATGAGATATAAAGGAATGTGTGAGATATAAAGGTATGTGCGAGATATAAAGGTATGTGTGAGATATAAAGGTATGTGTGAGATATAAGATTACAAATGTTATATAAGGGAGCTTATTCGATTCACTTGACACTGTGTCACCCTCAAAATTCTTAAGAAAAGGAACGGGCTTAATTTTATTAAATTTTCTGATTATCACAAATTAGATATAGGGCAGGAAATTAAAAAATTAAAAAGTGTTAAAACATTCAGTTTGTGCCATTTATAGCTGGCACTAAAAGGTGATATTCCCGATACAGTTGTATGTGAGTAAATAATTTCAAAAATATTTTTTCAAAGTCAAAAATGGTTTAAACATCAAATTAGATATTTCAATTTCCACAAAAGCAAAGGATAAACATTCAGAGTTCAATTTAGAACTAACTGGTAAAAAATATTAGTTTTGAAAAATGGATTGGCAGTACTTAATTGAATGTTGTATATATCCTATTGCATAAAACATAAGTAGTCTTGGTAATTAGGTCACTTTGACCTACTAACAAATGAGGCCACAAAATATACTTACCAATGATCATGAAGCCACTATGACCTAAATACTAACAAGTCACTATGACCTACTTATAAACAAAGACACTTCTGACCTACTTCCTAATGAAGCCACTATGACCTAATTACTAACGACACTTCTGACCTACTTCCTAATGAAGCCACTATGACCTACTTATAAACAAAGACACTTCTGACCTACTTGCTAATGAAGTCACTATGACCTAATTACTAACAAAGACACCTCTGACCTACTTGCTAATGAAGCCACTATGACCTAATTACTAACAAAGACACTTATGACCTACTTGCTAATGAGGTTGCTGTGACTTAATTATAGAGACAGAAGGCAGAGGAGGAGTCGAAAAAACAGGAGGAGATTGAGGCTCTACAGAACCAGCTACAGCAACTACGCAGCATGGCCGCAGGCAAACAGGTAAACGTCTCGCAGAGGACAGTGTCTCACAAAGAACCTCTTACCAGTAGCCAATACAAATGCCTTCTTATTACAAGAGGATATTTAATCTCTTGTGTATTCGGAGGATTTTGAAGATTTTTTTCTGTATTTTTTTAACTTAAATATTTTAGTTAATTGGATGTCTTTTATACATATTATGCTATTTAAGTATATTTTGAACTCAAGCTAGCTGTCCAAATGATAACTTGTATATCAGAGCTCATGAGAGTGTTTAAAGTATTTGTGTTGATTTCTGATGTTGTAGCCTGTGGATGAGAATGTGTTGAAAACAGAATCGAAGAAACCAGGGAAGGTCAGTTAATATGTATGGAGATAGTCGTACTGTATACCAGGAGAATTTCGCTCTACACCGATAAAATCCATATTTGCCCAATGTTAATTTTTTCTCTTCACTTTTGATACATCTGTTCATTTTATTGTATGTTTGCTGTAATGATAAATTTGCCTTCATTGCTGAGGGTGAAAACTGCAGCAAAAAAATCCCGGTATGCAGTATGTCAAACTTTGGATTTTTCACTTGCCTGGTAATTCATGAAAAAAAGGTTAACTGTTTTATTTATAGGAAACCAGTGTCATTTTAACAATCGTGACACTAGTTCTGAATAAGGTCTCATGTAAAAAGACATCAGATTCCCAACCATTGATGATAAAATGATCTTAACTATATCACAGATACATACATGCTTCATGCTGTGGCATTTTATTTATTCCAGAAACCATTAAACAAGTCAAAACCTAAACCCAAGGATGATGACGACACCTCCATGTACAATATGGACAAGTGAGTTTACTCCTACAGGTCCCTTTCTGGACATGTTCTACTGAAACGTAACATCATCGGTGACTTTTTATGCCCCCGCCATAAAATGGGGGGGGGGGGGGGGGGGGGNCCATGTCCGTCCCGTCCCGTCACGATTCAATGTAATTTATTTCACTGTTCTGATGGTAATGGTAGCATTTGTGCTTTCATGTGCCTTTGTGCAACCTCTGTTGTCCATAAGTTTTTTTCCTTTAAAGTCTACTTATCCACAACACCTGAACTGATTTCGACCAAATTTTGACAACTATTAGCCAACCACAGGGGTGTCAAATTTCATGTTTCAAGTACTAGCCTGCATGCAGATTTTGAAAAAAAATCTACTAGCTCAACTTCCATTTTCACATTTATCATCACCCCACTCCCTACCAGCAGGGAAGATGAGAACAGGCAAATAAGGACTAATCTTTAATATACCTCTCCTTAGATACAAGTAAAGGAATTTGAACTGATAATGCATGGGTAAAGTACTGGGCCAAGGTACTTCAATGTTACATAAGTAAGACATGGGTAATTCCAGAGAGATTGTTGTATAAATATTACTAATTAAGAAGGAGTTATGTCCCAAATCCAAAATTACAGAATCCATTACTTTAGCCACCGCTGGAGAGAATTTATATAGGCTTTGCCTGTTATTCCTTCCAATTGACTTGTAACAACTTTGTCAATAAAATTGGTTGAAATGAAAGTGTTACTGGAGTAGATACGTATATACCCAGTGTTAGTGTGACTGAGTAGATATCCCCGTTGTTTAGTGATGAAGGTATCTAGTAACATTGAGTCTGTACTTGTGTTTCTGGAGTAGATACACATATACCCAGTGTTAGTGAGACTGAGTAGATATCCCCTTTGTTTAGTGATGAAGGTATCTAGAAACATTGAGTCTGTACTTGTGTTACTGGAGTAGATACATATATACCCAGTTTTAGTGAGACTAGTAGATATCCCCTTTGTTTAGTGATGAAGGTATCTAGTAACATTGAGTCTGTACTTGTGTTACTGGAGTAGATACGTATATACCCAGTGTTAGTGTGACTGAGTAGATATCTACCTTTGTTTAGTGATGAAGGTATCTAGTAACATTGAGTCTGTACTTGTGTTACTGGAGTAGATTCACATATACCCAGTGTTATTGAGACTGAGTAGATATCCCCGTTGTTTAGTGATGAAGGTATCTAGTAACATTGAGTCTGTACTTGTGTTACTGGAGTAGATACATATATACCCAGTGTTAGTGAGACTGAGTAGATATCCCCTTTGTTTAGGGATGAAGGTATCTAGTAACATTGAGTCTGTACTTGTGTTACTGGAGTAGATACGTATATACCTAGTGTTAGTGTGACTGAGTAGATATCCCCTTTGTTTAGTGATGAAGGTATCTAGTAACATTGAGTCTGTACTTGTGTTACTGGAGTAGATACACATATACCCAGTGTTAGTGAGACTGAGTAGATATCCCCGTTGTTTAGTGATGAAGGTATCTAGTAACATTGAGTCTGTACTTGTGTTACTGGAGTAGATACATATATACCCAGTGTTAGTGTGACTGAGTAGATATCCCCGTTGTTTAGTGATGAAGGTATCTAATAACATTGAGTCTGTACTTGCAGTATCTGTATATTCTGTGAGGAGAGAAACTCCAGCTTCACAGAGGAAGGACTAGATCTGCACTACTGGAAGAACTGTCCTATGCTGAAGCGCTGTACCAACTGTAAACAGGTAATATTACTTAGGTCACATCCCTTTTTGACTGTTCATCTTAAACACTTTCCTACTCCTTTGTAGTTCCTACATACCAAATTGTATGTTATCATAACTGTAGACCTTTGGGGAAAATGTTACCAACTTTTTCTCCAGATATTTGCAGCATGTACTTTTTAAAATCTAATTATAACATATACCTGTCAATATTTTAAGTCCATCTATACCATACAAATGTACCTGTGAACTGTATTCTGATGTAAGTCCTTGGCCTGTACAGGTGGTGGAGATTGCCAGCTACACGGAGCACTTGGTGTCAGAGTGTGAGGCAAAGGGCAACTATGCAAAGTGTCCTCGGTGTACAGAGGCCATACCAAAGTCGGAGCATCCGCAGCATGTAGCAGACAAGAGCTGTAATCGTACGTAGATCAACATCTGTACTCCTAACCCTTTCACCACCGTAGACCATAATGGACTCTGCCAAATCAATGCTTGGTTGAGTCTACTAAAGTTACATAGGGCTGAAAGGGTTAGCTTTCAATTGTTATTGTAACTTTAAAAAAAAAAAAGTTTATGAACCTGACAATGAGCTTTGTCCCTACCCAGTCAACGTAGAGCTATGGATGATCCAGGGTTCTCCCCAGAATTCTTTTAAGCTGACATGTTTCATTTTCAAAAGACGTTCAAGATGGACACAGCAGTCTGTAGCATGCTCAACAAAACCATATCAAATTTAGCGGGAGAGGTCACAATACTTAAGTGGCCCTTAATTTCTGTCAAAATAAGTACTTTTATTTACCAAACTTTTGGTGAATTTTAAAACAAAAGAATGGTAACTATGCCCAGCTTTTTCCCTATTGAGTGAGAAATCGGAGAAGATTAATTAAGAGACTCATTTTCCTGTTGTTTGATAGAAAAGAAATAAGGATTCCCTTTCCTGTCGTCTGGTACAAGAAACAAGATTTAGAGACTCATCTGTCCATTACTCGATACATTAGACTTTTTTTCTTTCCAAATTGCATGTTGAAAGAGAACTATTCTGAAATAAGTTGGGAACTATATCTGAAGATGAAGTCAAGTAACAGATAGAGTCCATGACTTACATCATATACTGGTATCTGTAATGGTTAGTTCTATATCATTATTAGTGTTAAATATGGTTTGTTCCAGCTTCTGAGTCGGAGAAGAATCACTGTCCCCTGTGTCACCAAAATATTTATGCTGGTGAGGATGGATGGAAGAAACATCTGATGGGCAAAGACGGATGTAAACAAAACCCTCGACGTCTACTGGCCCTCAACAAACAGCCCTCCCAGGGTAGGTAATCACCCACCCGTACACACAGTGGTGTCATAAACTGAAACATTTTTAGCTCACCTGGCACGAAGTGCCAAGTGAGCTTATGCCGTGGTGCGGCGTCCGTCGTCCGTCCGTCGTCCGTCCGTCCGTCCGGCGTCCGGCGTCAATATTTTACTTTAAACGACTTCTTCTTAATAACCGAAAGGCCTAGGGTGATGATATTTGGCCAGAAGCACACTGGGATGAAGGGCTACCAAGTTTGTTCAAATAAATGACCTTCATCTATTTTCAAGGTCACAGGGGTCAAATATGTTAAAAACTTTAAACAACTTCTTCTCAATAACCAAACTGCCCAGGGAGATGATATTTGGTCAGTAGCATGCTAGGGTGAAGGGCTACCAAGTTTGTTCAAATGAATGACCTTCAATTATATTCAAGGTCACAGGGGTCAATTGTCTTAAAAAACCTTTAAATAACTTCTTCTGAATAACCAAAATGCC